TCCTTTCCCGGCCCGCAGGCCCCGCGGCGGCGGGCTGGCTGACGGCGCGCTCGGCGCGCAAGAAGCGCTGCCCGTACAGCAAATTCCAGACGCTGGAGCTGGAGAAGGAATTCCTGTTCAACATGTACCTGAGCCGCGAGCGGCGGCTGGAGGTGGCGCGGCTGCTGAGCCTGAGCGAGCGCCAGGTCAAGATCTGGTTCCAGAACCGCCGCATGAAGATGAAGAAGATGAGCCGCGAGCAGCCCAAGGAGTGAGCGCGGCCCGCGGCGCGGATTCGCCGCAAAGCGCCCCAAAAGCGGCGCCGGATCCATTGTTCCATCTGAAATTTGGGGGATTTCAGTTTAAAATTCATTTCTGTTCGTCTGGTGTAACAGCCCAAAGCGCAGCTCCTCTTTGGGATGAGAGGAGAGAAGGGCAGTGCTCCCAAATCTCCGATTTTTCCTCCAAAAGCGGCGCCGGATCCACTGTTCCATCTGAAATTTGGGTGATTTCAGTTTAAAATTCATTTCTGTTCCTCTGGTGTAACAGCCCAAAGCGCAGCTCCTCTTTGGGATGAGAGGAGAGAAGGGCAGTGCTCCCAAATCTTCGATTTTTCCTCCAAAAGCAGCGCCGGATCCACTGTTCCATCTGAAATTTGGGTGATTTCCGTTTAAAATTCATTTCTGTTCCTCTGCTGTGACTCAGCCCAAAGCACAGCTCCTCTTTGGGGCAAGGAATGACAGGAGAGAAGGGCAGTGCTCCCAAATCTCCGATTTTTCCTCCAAAAGCGGCGCCGGATCCACTGCTCCATCTGAAATTTGGGTGATTTCAGTTTAAAATTCATTTCTGTTCGTCTGGTGTAACAGCCCAAAGCGCAGCTCCTCTTTGGGATGAGAGGAGACAAGGGCAGCGCTCCCAAATCTCCGATTTTTTCTCCAAACCGCCCCAAAAGCAGCGCCAGATCCACTGCTCCATCTGAAATTCGGGTGATTTCAGTTTAAAATTCATTTTTGTTCCTCTGCTGTGACTCAGCCCAAAGCGCAGCTCCTCTTTGGGGCAAGGAATGAGCAGGACAAGGAATGAGGGAAAGAGCCCCAGATCTCAGATTTTTCCTGCAAAGCGCCCCAAAAGCAGCGCCGGATCCACTGCTCCATCTGAAATTTGGGATATTTCCATTTAAAATTCTTTTTTCTTCCTCTGGTGTAACTGAGCCCAAAGCTCAGCTCCTCTTTGGGGCAAGGAATGAGAGGAGAGAAGGGCAGCGCTCCCAAATCTCCGATTTTTCCTGCAAACCGCCCAAAAGCAGCGCCGGATCCTGCTCTCAACACCAGCTCCGCTGTTCCATCTGAAATTTGGGTTATTTCCATTTAAAATTCTCTTTTCTTCCTCTGCTGTAACTCAGCCCAAAGCGCAGCTCGTCTTCGGGGTGAGGAATGAGACAGGAGAGAAAGGCAGCGCCCCCAAATCTCCGATTTTTTCTCCAAACTGCCCCAAAAGCAGCGCCAGATGATGCCCCGAGTCCCTGCTCTGCTGTTCCCTTGGAAATTTGGGTTATTTCCATTTTTAAAATAATTTTTCTTCTGGTGCAACTCAGCCCAAAGCGCAGCTCCTCTTTGGGGCAAGGAATGAGCAGGACAAGGAATGAGAGAAGGGCAGAGCCCCCAAATCTCC